GTATAACAGTTAATTCAGTTGTTATTCCCAAAGGTTTTGGGAAGGATTTCATTGGATTGTTGCATTGTATGCATGTTGTATCTGGTAAAACTAGACAGTGACACAAACCATTGCTCCATTGTTACTATTGGGCAATCTGGCATTCGAGTTTGCCATACAAATAATGTGTCAAGAAAGCTTTTACAATAATAACAAATAATGTGCTACATAGAATTACAGTGACCAATTACACTGCAGGAATAATGTACAAAGTTATGACAGTGTATGGATTATAGTATGCCAGCTACGATTGACAATAAATAAAATAGCCCACTATGCCTCATGCAAAAAATGCAGACCCTCATAATAATATGCATGTACATATAAGCCTTGAATGGCTGGATTGATAGTGATAATGTGGACATCTCAACGCGGGCCCCGGACCACATGCCAGCTGCTGTCCCTTCCACGTCAACACATTTGGTGTAATGGAATGTTTGTCGTGGTGTTATAAAGAGCCCCCCTCCCCATAATTTGATGGGATTGGGTCCCACAGATGAGGGTAATAACCTCAATAATTCATGACCACCCAGGAGAAAATGATCATAAATCATATCAACTGCTAGCCTGGGTGCCATCCCATTCGTATACTGGGGCTACCTAAAAAATAGGGAGCAAGTATGGGAGACGCATTATACAAATAGGATGACACCTAGGCTAATGAACTGCTACAGGCAGGCAGAATACCGGTACTCAACAGGAATCATTCTTCCACTGAAAATGTACTATCCAAGCAGGGGTTAGGCTTGTGAGATTTTCTTGGGAAGCACGACAAGCCAAACCTCTGCTTGGAGGGTATTCAAAATCCCCTCTGGTTAGGGAAAAATTTTCAGCCTATTTTACACAATTACATCTTCAGCTTTGACTTGTTTGAGTGACAGTTTAGTACATGTACAATGATAAGGGACTATACAAGGAATCAAAACTGATATACAAGTACGTGTATAATAAGAATCAGGCCATTAGTACATGGTAGGAAATTAATGTTGTGGTAGGGAAATGTTAATAGTAAGTCTTCATGTAGGTCAAATTTTGTTGCATTCAAACCATATAGGGACAAAAATCTGTGATTTTTTTTTTCATTTATCCAAATGACCTTGGTTTATAAAAAAACATCAGTACATGATATACAGCATATAAACAAAAATCATTAGTGCCTGAGAGTTCTTATGTGAAAAGTCTTACTTTTCTAAGTAATGTAATACATGTAGATGATCCATTTTTAATTCACTTGTGGGCTGCCCTTGTTTTGATAAAGCCACTTCAGTACATTACTGGTAATTATTTGTGCTGGCCCCATGGGAAAT